GTATCATAATAAACGTGTGTGAGATTACCGTGTAGAGATGCACTTGTTCCTCTAACCCATGGGTGGACCAGCACGTTGTTGGGGTCACCCACTAGCTGCTGAATACTAAGCATCAGGGGACCAACACCTGTACCATGGCAGGGATGGAGTTGTGTTCATGAAGAGACCAAAACTAGGAGGAATACAAACCATAAAATCTGACTTAAAAACGTGGGAGACCTTAAAAATTTTGAGGATTTCGATTTATATTGTCTACCGCAACATATTATTTTTTTTTATCAATTAAGGTAACTTCTTGTTGTTGATAATGGTATTATGAAGTCTTTGTAAAATTTATATATGAGTAAATGCACACACACACACACACACACACACACACACACTACTTACTACTTTGCTTTCACTCGGAATCGAGTATGACGATCATCCAGCTATGATACAATCATATGAGTTATTAAGGATGTCATCTTGGGTGGTTAGTTCTGAGGTGAATAAAGAGGCCGATACTGGACCGATAGGCTCGATCACAGATGTTGCACATGTGGGGGGCTACTTCTAGTGCGGGATGGGCGGCGGCAGCGTCTTATGGCAATGGCGTTTGTCTGCCTCGATATGCAGTCGGGCTAACTCGAAAGTATTGACACCTTCTCGTGTTGTGCTCCTCAAAGCGTTACGATGTGGAGTAGTCGTCTCCCAGGTGAGGGGGTCGATTTGGCACTTTTCAGGTTTGTCTTAAGACTATCCTTATACCTTTTCAATTGCCCGCCAGCGTTACGTTTACTATTCGTTAGGTGACTGTAAAGAAGCTGCTTTGGCAGTCTACTGTCGTCCATAGGCGAATACTCAAAACACCTCAAAAGTTACGTTTTTCAGCATGATACAGTACCATATATTGCGGAAGCCTTACAGTACCATAAATTTAGCATACTCAAAATTTAATTATGGTTCCGTAAGACTACCATAAGTTCTCGTAACTCTAGTGTTTACCCTGTAAATTAAGTTCTCTTGTCGGACGGTAGATGTCAGTGCAGATGCTCGTTGGCCAATCAACGCTCAGTTAACAAAATCATCAACCAATCACAAGAGAAGGAGAAATCAGCTGAGAGCGACGCACGTAATATTATTGTGTAAACATGGAAGGACCACCAGCCAAGAAGAGACGGCCTAATTTCAGTGAGGCTGAAGTATACGCTCTTGTGACTGAGGTAGCCAAACGAAAAGAAATGATTTTAGGGAAGTTGGACTCAACTAGATGTACACTTCAACTCAAAAACCATGCCTGGGGTGAAGTGTTAAATGCGGTGAATGCTGTTGGTAGAGTCACCCGCAATGTTACTGAAATTCGGCGGAAGTTTTCTGATCTTCGTGTTAGCGTTAAGAAAAAAGCAGCACAAGATAAGAAATATGCTGGTGGAACAGGTAAGTCATAATATTGTTAGCGTGGTTATTGATTGATAATATGAAACAAACTTAACTATGGTTTTTCTGAGGCTTGGTACGATTTTACGTGTTTGTAAACTCAAGGAAGTAAGTAGTGTGGTGGCTCTCCATCGTGAATGAATACACATATTTTCCTTATATGAGCACATTCATTAAAAGAAACATCGTTCTTCGAATTTTTCCGTGTGAGTAAATAGTAAAAACTTTACCGTTCAACCTAATTTTTTTTTCTTTTTACGTGGATTAACCAACCCAGGCACAGTCACTGACCCACGTCGGGGCCTGTAATAATAATTCTTTAGTACTATTAATAAAAATACCTCTTTATTAATAATAATATTAATAATAAATAACCATAAATACCGAAATGAAAACACAAAAAGTGAGAATCAATATACAGTATGTATGTTGTGTTGTTGATATTACGAGAAACAATTGCGACCCTGCAATTGTGTGTAAATGACACATTTAGTCAGATTAGCAACCTTAGACTTGCTCCTAATTTTCGTGATGCCATATGGCAGCAGGGTCTACCATTAGAGTACACATTATGCTTCCAATATCTTCCCACCCGGTAGTCAGGGAAGTCTGTACTACTGTTAATAATTTCCCCACAACTTTTGGATTTTCTTATTATACCTATCATATACATTACACAATTTTAAGACACACTTGTCATTGTGTCGCAACTGACGTGGAACAGCAGAGATAGTTAATATGAGTTTGTGTGGCAGGGCGGCGGAGGCCTCCCGTTGGTAAAGGAAGCTAGGTTAGGTAGGTTTGGTTACTGTTATAAACTACATATTAATAATTACGTTATTTCCGACGGTAATGAAGGTCATAATGTATAAGTTGCCATAGAATTCCTTTTTTTATGTCGTTAATTTTCATTCATCAATAGATTTATATTCATATTTGGTATACATTAATATGTAAATTTTACTTTGTTAGGCTTATGAGTTTGCAACTAATACAGGTTGAAAATTTCTGGCTGCGACTATTTTTTTTGACTTATTTTACCATTTATTGTTTGTTACCTTAAATCTAATTAACTTTTGACATAGATAAAGGAGAATTTTTGTGGCTACAGCTACAATGATAGGTTAGGTTATAATGTTGGAACTATTTCAGTAGATTCCTTTGTAACTATGATTTCTGCCAAATATAACATAGTTAGCGTATAGTGTATGTAACCACAGCTCACAGTAAGACAGTTATTATTTATATTTTCTCTTCAAGGTGGCGGCCCCCAAATTGAAATTACATACACTGCAATTGAAGAAGCAATTCTTCAACTATTAGATCCAGCCTCTATACATGGGATTCCAGGGGATGTTGAAAGTGAAGAACCTATTACTGGTAATTCAGTCAAAATATTTTTCCAACCCCCTGATATATTTTGTTCTTTTCTGTCCTTGTTTTTATTTTAAAAAAACTTTTGGAGACATTTTTTCACATCTTGATTTGGAAATACTGATTTCATATATATATATTTTGAAAAATAACAACACTAGTAAGTTGGTTTCATTTCTAGCTTGTTTATTGCTTCCCTAAGTTATATATTAAATGTTGTTATAACTCGTATGTTAATGGACAAAATTGAGAAGTGCAAATATAAGAAATTTAACGACTAGTTGATATTTAGATTTAAAAATATTTTAAACAAATATATTTAGATGGTCAACACTATTTTTCAAACCATTATTTTTCCTAAAAGCTTTTGTATATTTGGAAATACAGTGTAATATTTTAATTTTACTCTTAACATAGACTTCAATCAACCTATTATACTACATTTCTTTCCAGAAGAAGAAAGAGAACCAACCCCCGGACCCTCAGGAGCTAGGTTTACAGCTACCGGTAGTTGTTTCCGAGAGGAATTTATGTTTCGGCCCGTTCAAGAGAAAGATGATTTTATAACCTGCATTCTGAATGAGGATATACAGGAACATGATATCACAGTGCCCATTGTGCATTTAGAACCTGAAACTTCAGCACCTACAAACATTCCTGGATTTTCATCATCCGGGACATATGAGGTAGAAACATGTAGTTCAAGCAATACTCGTCAACCTATTGCTGCTACCACGGAACAGCGAAGTAGGTCTAGTACCCCTTCTGCCACAGCTGTTAGGTCAACTGTAACTGGTGATTCCACTGGTGAAATGGGTTCACCTCCAATGCCAAGTACCAGCAGAAGTGGCAGGAGGCCACGAACCTCTTCTGCCCGAAAAGATGAAGATCTTCTTCGAGAGATGCTTCGTGTTCAAACACAAATGAGTGACAGTTTTTTACAGCTTGTAGCTAACACCGAGTGCATTGCATCTGCAATGCTATGCATTGCAAGAGTTATGCAGTCGAAAAATCCTATCCAATGATGCTGTGTTTATGGTATGTGTATATGTAGTTGTTTACTTAGGTAAGTCCTTTACTTTTTGTAAATGTGATAATAGCGTAGTTGAAAAGTCATCAAAGACATATTATAAATTTTCCTTTGAGTGATTGTTATGAAGGAAGACGGCATGTTAAAAAATTGTGTAACTTTCACTTGCAGCCTATACTAGTCATGAAAATGTAACAGGAATATTTAGCTCTCCATAAGTTCATTAAAATCACGAAGTTAAGTGAAAGACACACATTTGTCAACTAATAACATGTGTTGCAGTGCTACTACGGGTAATGTTTACCCAGGTTTTGGGTAAAAGTTCCTACCACACTCAAAATTATATGTTTGAAAAGAGGCTCATGTACTTATTTTTATTTTTTAAAGGTTCCTTTATTTTGTAAGACGTAGTCAATTTCCAGTTCAACGAGTTTTATTTATTAGTTTGTAGTTTGCGAAGTATGATTCAAGTAGGTTGAAACAGAAATAATGGTGCAAATTCACCAACAGCCTACTGTAATCGCTGCTATTTAACACACATTAGTCTCCAAAGCGCAAGTTGTTGCATTGGTTCTATCATAAGGATGTGCTGTCTCATGTTACATTTTATAGCTTAACAAGCAAAGAGTATTCTATTTTTTTCTTTATTACTTACAGTAGTACAGTATTGGGTTATAAGTTTCTTTTAATTTACGGGTATTGATGCAGGTAATTCTAGACATATGAAAATTATACTGTATTCCATTCTTAAATCTAAAAAATGGCAACAAATAACAGTAGTTGTATTATTATTTCGCAACGATGTGGTGACCCATGTCAAATTGTGTAGTTTAAGATGCAAACAGTAGCAATATTTTTTTATTGTTAAAATTTCTCAAATATGTTTTATATAAGGATTTTTTGTTTCACAAACTTTAGTGCCTTTGGTATTTAGTAGTATTAAAAGTATACTGTATTGGAATCAAATTTGTTCAAGGATATAGTACATATATTATTAAGGTAAGAGAAAGCCATTTAATTTCTATAAAGAAGTTTATTTTATTATGTACAGTATATTGAAAATAAAAGTTAAATCAATGTACGCTTTATTCGCATTACCTCTGTATACTGCACTAAAAAATACTATTTAAACATAGAGGAAAAATGTATTGGTGAATTGATATTTGATTTTAATTCATCAAGTAAACCAATTACGGACTACATTGGCTCGGACTGCTTGGCCTGTCCCTGCTACAGCTTCAGCTGGATTGTCAATCTCTCCATCATCGTCGACGATGTCGTGGGGAAGTGGTACCCTTCTCATTAAACAATAATTGTGAAGAAGGAAACATGCATTTACAATTTTGGCACATTTGGAAGGATCGTATTGAAGTGATCCACCAGAACGGTGAAGGCATCTAAATCGTGATTTTAGGACACCAAAAGTTTGCTCTACAACTACGCGGGTTTTGGTATGGCTGTTGTTATACCTAACTTCTCCAGGGGTTGAGGGGTTTCTGAATGGTGTCATGAGGAATGCCTCTAATGGGTACCCACTGTCACCTGGAATAACAGGAGTGATTAAAAAATAAGAAATAAATGTACAGCTCAATAAGAAATATAACAAAAAAAATAATTACAATGCCCTTGGGGGAATTAATCCCTCAGCCCACTCGTGTACCTATAAGCAAAAAACATATAAACTATATAGCTGCATTACCAAACAATGAGGCATAATGTATTTGCTTCCATATAAAAATAGCAATATAGCACAAATATTTTAACCATTTTTCAACAACCAACTGTAAGACAAATAAAGATATTAGGTGTGGGCCACTAATTATGTATGTGCCGTCAAGTGTCATAGCTTGGTTTAGGGAAAGTTATTAGGTTCAGCATAGGTTTATAAGGTCAGTGATGTCAAACTTAGTCGATATGCACGGTTAAACATAGCTGTAAAAGTGTACCGTTCCTTAATTCAACAAATGAATGATTTATCATGTACTGGGCAGTTAAGTAAGGTCCTCCTAGCATTAGAGCCTATGTTCCACCTAGTCACATTGATTAGCTGAAATAGGAAAAATCTTAACCGTGCCATTTAAACTTACCAATCAAATAATTATCACCAAAATCACCCGCCTCAAAGCGACGGCGAAGTAAGCACTGGGCCCAGATGAAGGCGTCATGTGTACAACCTGGATACTTGGTGCTGTAGTTTGTGATCAACCCGTTGGCATTACATACTACTTGTACATTGAGAGAGTGGTATCGCTTCCTGTTTACATATGTTCCTTCATTTTCAATTGGGGCTTTTATGGGTATGTGTGTTCCATCAATTGCACCAATGACTCTTGGAAGGTTTCTTATTCTGGCAAAACCTTGCACAGTTCTTGCTATTTGTACATTACCTGTTGGCATCTTTATTTCAAATCTTGCCCTTTCTGTGAGAATTTGGGTCACATCTCTAATAATTCTACTGACACTAGCTTGGGTAAGACCAACTGTATCACCAAGTACATGTTGAAAGGTTCCACTGGCGTAAAATCTTAAGGCAACTAACACTTGCGTGTGTATGGGAACAGCATGAGATCTTCTCGTTCTACGCCTTAAAAATGGATCTAACTCTTCACACAGTCTTAGAATTTCACATTGAGGAAACCTATAATATCTAATTAGATTTTCATCGCTTATATTTATGGGATCCAAAGGGTCCCGATACCTTCGTTCACGTCGTAAAGCTCGATCATGCAGATAAGCTACAACAAGTTCCATTGCAGGGTAACTGGAAAATGAGGTCCAAGTGTTACAGGATCAATCTGCAGGACAAAAAATTATGCAATGGCTTAGAAGTTTGTTACAGTATTGTTTTTATGTTGATACTAACTTATTCAAAGTTTTATCATTAGGCCTAGAATAGAAGGGTTATGCCTGTGAAAAACAAAAATTATGGTCTTAAGGTTTTGCCTGGCTCTTAGGGGTAAAATACTGAAAAATGCACGTGTTAAAATCTCTGTATTCATTTAAAAATGAAAGAAATTGTTCATTATGAAAGTAAATAAGGGTGTTAAAAGCATTTAAAAGACATCCTCTTGCCTCTTGTCTGTCACATACTCGCATTTGAAACTGATTTCTGGTAGGAACAGCAGCCTTCTCCGTTAGCCGGAATCCTTGAAACCCGGAACTTTCTGAAAGCCGTAATTGAAATTTTATCTAAAATTAATTCCCAAAGCATGATTTTGCAGGAAACTTACGGCTTAGGTAAATGACTTTCAGAGAGGCACATTTTCCTGAAAACTATGAGGAAAGTTTCCCAGATAACCGAGAAAATTCCGGAGATGGGGGATATATTTCTGGGTTCGAGAGATGATGTAATGGGCAATTGCAGGAACTACCGAGAAAATTTTTCCATTACCATAAACATTCTGGGGATGAGGGATATTTTCTTGATTTGTGATAACTGTCTCGTTAACGGGAAAACACTCATTCATTCACGGTAGTGCTCTTCACCAATTGTTCCGGCTAACAGAGATCTCACAGTAATAGGTGTTTTACCCCACTAGAATTTAGGTAAATAATCCCTTGCATAATGTTGGCCTGTGACAAGACACATAAGCTATACTAAGATAGCCTTATTCTGGGCAAATTCAAATAAATTGGTTATTGATAGCATAGCCTTGCCTAACCTAAATGACAAATCACTTCTCTTAAATTACTCATTTAGCCTAGACCCTGGTGTTTTCCTTTCAATGTTGGTAACATTTGGTCTGAATTGTCTTCAAGTTCATACAAGAAACAACAATTTAAAACCTGAAAATATATCGGATTAGCCGTAAATTTTCTTAAATTAATACTCTACCTATGATAATGTTCAAGGAAAGTCTGGAACTAGGCCTAAGGTAGCTGCTAGACAAAGTGTCTCACTGACGGCCTGACGCTCACCAAAAAACCATGTACACATTCTCTAGCCTAACCTAACATACCATAACATAACATAACCAAACCTATCTATCTAACCTATACCCTATTAGTATAATTTCTTATTTAAATAATCCTCATGTTCTAACTAAACGAAGTAGGCCCCATGTTTAAACATTTATTTGCCTAAGACTGAAAAAGCAGTTATATAGGCCCCTATTAATTTTTGCTAGCCTATGGAAATTTATAGCCTTTCATGTTATCATACTCTATATACATAAGAAAATAGGCTAAGGCTATTGGTTGAATATTAGAAAAACAAGGCGAAGTCTTGGCAGGAATGTTCACTTGACCTCATATTTGGCTTTCATTACTGAGGGATATTTACGGCTATACAACATTAATAAGTTCTATCTGCAAGTTTACTCAGTCATAAAACATATTTTTACCCTAAGTGTGAACAATACAAACCTTCTGTTTTGGTAAGAAATACTTTATAATGTGTAAGAAGACAAAAGATGCGCCTCTTCCAAACTGAGACAAACACAAACACTTATTATACAACAAAAAAGTTACGAAAAAGACAAAGTGAAATATTATATTTCAGTATGTTGATGTACAAAACATTTTCTTCTTTATTCTATGATAAAACAAGTCTAACAAGCATTATTACAACATATATTATTATTATTTTCTATACAATCGGGAATTAGTCACTACTACATCCGGGTTGAGAGTGTTACACAACCTCGGGAGCTGGTGTAAGTTACTTGCGTTAACTTACGGAGTTCGATGTCAAATATTGGTTTTGAGTATACCATCTGTGTTTTGAGTATACCATCTGTGTTTTGAGTATGCCATCTGTGTTTTGAGTATACCGATCTGAGACTGTAAGTCCAGTTACGGGGTAAACAAAGACATACAGTCCCATAAATGTTTTTGAGTATCCGGCCCCTTATGTTCGTTTTTCATGAATAATGGTAGCCTCGATGCTTCTACAGTTGGTGTCAGTAAGAATACTGGCATTTGTTCTCTTGTCTTCCCAGCGAACTCGGAGGATGGAACGTAGACTACGTTGGATAAAGTTATCAAGTGCCTTGAGGTGCCTCCTGTATGTGACCCAAGTCTCGCTGCCATATAGAAGGGTGGGGAGGACCACTGCTCAATATACGTACAACTTTGTAGATAATTTCAGCTCCCTAGAGTTGAAGACACGGGTTTCGAGTCTGCCAAAGGCGTGAGATGAACATCTGATGCGATGCTGAATCTCCTCTTCGATTTCCACGGCGGTGGACAGGTGGGAGCCGAGATACCGAAAGTGGGTAACATTAGAGAGGGTAGTACCGTTAAACTGAATGGATGATGGAGGTGCGGCTGAATCAGGGGTGGGCTGAAAGAGAATCTGAGTCTTATGTATATTCACCTCAAGGCCAAAGTGTGTATACTCATCTGCGTAGATGTTCAGGATCTACTGTAAGTCGCGTTCAGTGTGAGCGACAAGGGTGAGGTCCTCTGCATACTGAAGCTCAGTATTGAAGCTGTCGACACCTTTGTTCCTGCCTGGAGTCGTCTTATGTTGAAAAGACCCTTCATCCACTTCTCGATGGCCACTCCATCCCCCCGGTTAAATTGACGCTGGCACGAGTAAGGAAGGCAGCCATGAAAATGGAAAAGAGAGTTGGTGCCAGTACACACCCTTGTTTAACAAGAGGGCTTCCCTGTTGACCGAGTCGAAGGCCTTGGTTAGGTCGATGAAAACGATGTACAGGTCACAATGCTGTTCTCTGCACTTTTTCTGTATCTGGTGGGCAGCAAAGATCATGTCAATGGTGCCACGTGATGGTCTAAAGCCACATTGAGATTCTGAAAGGAAGTTTTCCACCTCAGGAAGAAGTCTGTTTAGGAGGATTGGGGCGATATCTTGCCAGCTCCGGACAGCAGGGAGATCCCGCTGTAATTGCGATAGTCTGACTGGTCTCCTTTGTTCTTATAAATATTGACGATGGAGGCGTCTTTAAGAGCTTAAGGGATTTCCTTCTTTTCCCTTCTATTCTCCAGGAGAAAGTGGAGACTGCTGGCAAGTAGAGGTCCTCCTGCTTTATACACCTCGGCTGGGACTCCATCAGACCCTGAGGTTTTGTTATTTTTCATCTGTTTGATGGCAGTAGGTACGTCATTCAGGGATGGATGATAGCTGAGGTGGGTCAGCTCTGGATGTTGAGGGACCTACTGGGTTGTCAGGATATTCACGTTGGTGTTTCGGTTGAGCAATGAATGGTAGTGCTCTTTCCAGCGCTGAAGGAGGCCTTCATCATCTTTAATTATGGAGTTACCGTTGGATGAGTGGAGGAGGACTGCAACACGAGTGATCGGCCTATAAAATGTTTTAGTGGAATTGAAAAATTCGCGCATCATGTGCTAATCTGCAAATTTTTGTGCTTAACGTGCTTTATTTTTACACCAGTCGTTCTTTAGATTGCGAAGTTCCTGCTGGGCTGCCGCTTTCTTCTTGCGGAAGGTATCAGCTTTGGTCCAAGACTGAGGGTTGTTCTGCCAGTCAGTTAAAGCAGTATGTTTATCATTAACGAGTACATTTATTGCCGGGTCATTTTCATCAAACCAGTCTTGGTGTATTCTTTCTATTTGGCTGAGGGTCTCTGCAGTTTTTTGTCATGACAGTGTCGAGAATATCCCATTCGGGACTGTCATTTGGGTTGTTTGTTGTCGGGTTGTTTATGAGCCCATGTTCGAGCTGCTCTCTGAAAGAATGTGCTACTGCCAAGTCACCAAGGAACACAACCTTATCTTCTCTGGGGATAGAGGTTAGCACTTCTCAATGTCGGCATAAAAGGCCTCCTTGATGTCACCCTCTGCATCCAGTGTTAGAGCATATGCACTGATGAAAAAGGCATGACGTGTGTGATTCAGTGGGACCTGGACTGTCATGAGGTGCTCGTTGATCCCTATAGGCATTTCAGTTAGCCTTTGTAGGATGCGTTGGCGGATGGCAAAGACGACTCAATAAATACAGTTTCTCTGCGCAGCAGGCTTACCCTTCCAGAAGAGGGTATAGCCAGACCCCCGCTCTGTGAGTTGACCCTCGTCTGGGAGCCGGGATTCTCTAATGGCTCCTATATCGATGTTTTACTTAGCCAGCTTTTTTACCATAAGGGCGGTTCTTATTTCCGGACGCTCATTTGTGCCAGTATTCAGAAGGGTCCTAACATTCCATGCAGCAACCATAAGAGGTTGTATAGTTTGTTTTTGTTTGGATCTGTGATTTTTATTGTGTTTTCGACCGCATGTGGATGACCTTACTGCTTGCGGTTGCCCAGTCAGGTTGGTTTCTTAGGCAGGCTATGTTTAGGGCAACCCTTACTAGCCCCTTCCCAATGGGGAGTGAACATAGTTGCTCCTCGAATGGGCTGCTCAGTCGCACAGACAGGATCGGATTGCATTGATGCCTAGATCCCAGTGCATAAACGACCATCTTATCTGTGCCGCCCATGTGCAGAGTTGTGATTAGAGACTTCCGGCAGTCATCGCTACCTGTCCCCGTCGTCATTGATCTGTGGCCATTGAACTTTTGGGGGTATAGGGGTTTTGATGATGAAGAGAGGTATGATGGCTGCGCGTGACTCTATTTATGTGGCGAGGCAGGACCGCAGGCTGCAAGCACACATCTTGGCTCTCCCCTTTCCTGATCCAGTGGTGCAAGTGTTGCAACGACTGGGGAGAGGGAGAGTTACAATGGACTGCCGATAGCCCAGTTTGTTGGGTTTCGCCTCAGTAGCCTATCTATCAGGCATTGCCTTCGTCCGTCGGTGTAGTAGTTGGGTTCACATGGTGGTCACCTCTTTCGCCTATACCGCCGTTGGGGTCTTGTTGGAGTCTCTGTAAGCATGTCTGCTTGATGCGGGGCTTCGCCGCTGATTTTTCCCGTAGCCTTATAGCTACCAAGGTTAATCTGCAAAGCAGCGGGGCAATGGTTGGTAGGCTCCAGGATGTGTCCACATGCCAGTGGGCCTATGCGCCGTCCCTCTGGGGCCCACTGCTACTCCGGTATCCCCTGCTGGTCTAGCCTGGGCCCACGAGACACCCAGTTACCGTGTGTTGCCACGAGGAGGCACAGCAGGAGTCTTGATAGTGAAGAGGCTGTGTACTGGCAGGGGAAGAGGAAGCAAGCGGTGCTTACACCTTAATACTAACATAATGCTGCCACACTAGATGCACTTCACCACCCTGTATGCGACACACACACACACACACACACACACACACACACATCTACAAAATCAAACATAAAAGCACTGTACATCTTAATGAACCCTTGGTAGGCGCCGAGTAAAGATACTCTTGTTCATCCTCGGGCCAATAGGAAAAATGGAGAAGGAAGGAGTGGAGGGGAAGGGGAGAAAGAGGGGACAGGAGGCTAGGGGTCGAGGGAGAGGGGAGAGGGAGAGGCAAAGGGAGGTTAGGAAGAGGAGGCCGAAGATAAGGGGACGAAGACTGATGAAGAGGAGGACGAGGAAAAGGGGACGTAAAGAGTGATGGGGGAAAAGGAGGTAAATTGGATGGAATAGACAAGGATGAACAAGGGAATAGGGATGACGAAGGACGATGAAGAAGAAGGAAAATGTTAGTGGATGGGAGGGATGGGAGGGAGGGGGGGGAGCGAGGAAAAGGGAGAGGATGAAGAGATGAGTACTGTTATGAAAAATAAGGGGAGAGATGGAATAAAAGGGGAAGGGGAGATCAGTAACGAAGGGAAAGAGGCAGGGAACGAAGAAGAGGGAGAAAAATGAGCTTGAGATGGATAAGAAAGAAAAGAATAGGGAAAGGGATAAAAAGCAAAAGAGAAGGAAAGGAAGAACAAATGTTGAGGAATAGTAAAGAGAAGCGAATGATGAAGGGGAAAAGAGGAGGAGAATATAAAGATAAAATAGAGAAGAGAAAGAGAAAGAAAAAATGGAGTAGAACAAGAGTAAAAATAAAAGAGGGAATGATGTAAGGGGAAGGTATGGGGGGGGGGGAGAAGTAGGAAGGTTAACGACACTTTACCACGACATTACTTCTCTCCAAGAAAAAAAGATGTTCAGACAAATACTAGTTTTCCCCCTTGTTACTGAGCGACCAAGCTTACAACTACTGAACATTTTCGCCTATATATATATATATATATATATATATATATATATATATATATATATATATATATATATATATATATATATATATATATATATATATATATATATATATATATATATATATATATATATAGATATATATAAAACAACAAAATCGCCTCTCGTTTGGACAACAATGATATTTTTCGGAAATTGATGGTGCGTTTGATATGACACACTATTGCGAATTTCAACTATGGCTGCTATCCAATATAGAGCTTTTGAATTTATAAAGATAAGTGAGCTATTATGACCTTGTATGACTATATATATATATATATATATATATATATATATATATATATATATATATATATATATATATATATATATA